TTTGGGGGTAGGGGGTGGGGTTTGGGGAGGTGCAGGGGGGGGTTGTGTACCAATGAGGGAGTTTTTCTTTTGCTTTTCAAGGAGAGGAGCAAAGGGAGGGGAGGGGGGAGGAGTTTGTGCAGGGAGAAGGGTGCAACAATGAATGAATGGAATCCCAAAATCTCTGTAGATGTTCATTGAAATGAAAAATAAACAAACTAAATTAAAAAAAAATTACGTATTTAGCTCAGCTATCTAAATTTCTTTGGAACCTGGAATTTAAAATTTTGTATGTACAAGCTACAGGTACAAAAGTCTTCATGGATCACATATTTTATAAATGTCTATTAAAGCAAGCAGAGATATACCCAAAGAAGCGCTTATCAACAACTAACAGACACCGACTTCCTGGAAGATGATAGCATACGCAGTTCCAGGGGCCTCCAAGGCAATTGCCACTCAAAGGCAATCAACAACAATATTAAAGCAAGCAGAGATATATCCAAAGAAGTGATTATCTTATCATCAACTAATATAAACTGACTTCTTGGAAGATGGTAGCATAAGCAGTTCCATGGTCCTAGTCCCACCCCATCAAGATCACTAAGTAATAAGACAACTATCTCATAGGGTTTCTCAGACTGTAATCTTTACAGAAGCAGATTGAGAAATCTTTTTTGTGTGGAGTGGCTTCCTAGATATAAAGAGAATTCCTTCAATAAAGAGCAGAGTTAAGTTAAAAAAAAAAGATCACTAAGTAAAGCAAGAGATTAGTACTCGATGCTTGGCTGAAAGTTGAGTCATGAGGGCAAGTTCTCAGGCTTTTTCCTCAACATTTAAATTCAATTTTTTATGTTGTAGAGGATTCTTCTGATGGACATAAAAATAAAATTTTCATTTATTAATATTTTATTAGTGTACTATAACTTGTTTACCTCCCCAAATGTTTTTGTTTTAAATTGTATTTGAGTGAACGTTTCCAAAGCATACTGGTTTTCCCAATCACACAGACATATTTTTTTTTATACCATCAATTAAAATAACCAAAAATCCAATTTTTTTTTTTTAAAGTCTCAGTTGTAGGAGGAGGCTGATTCTTGAGAGGCTATGGTCTGTCTGTGTTCCCCATGGAAAATAAAGTCTTCCTTGCTTCACCCAAAAAAAAAATTAAAAATCCAGAAATGATTCAATTGTATAGCTTATTCTATTGCTGATTAATCATTTTTAGATTACGTTATATAGTCCATTTATACCATAGATTAAGTACCCTAGATTTCCTCCAATTTATTTTATGATCCTCCTAGTTTTAGGTTTTATACTTAGGTCCTTTATCCATCTTGAGTTAGTTCTTTTTATATGATGTAAAGTATGGATCTTGTTTCAATATTCTGCAAATTAATATCTAGTTTTCAAATCACCATTTGTTTTTAGAGGTTGTCTTTCCCCCAAATTGATTGTCCTGTACTGGCTATTCAATTATGCTTAGAAGTGGATTCTGCTTTCTCAAAAAGTTGCAAATAGTGCAGCAATGAATTAATGGAAATCCAAAATCTCTGTAAATGCTAATTAAAATTATTTTAAAAACAAAAAAACAAAACAAAACAAAAAGTTGCAAATAGAGATACCATTTGACCCAGCAATTCCATTACTGAGAATATACCCCAAAGAGACCATAACGGCCACCCAAAAAGATATATGCACACCCATGTTTATCATGGCTTTGTTCACAATAGCAAGGAGTTGGAAACAACCTAAGTGTCCATCAACAAACAAATGGATAGAAAAGCAGTGGTATATTCACACAATGGAAAACTACACTGCATTGAAAAACAAGGAACTCATGCAATATTATTCAAAATGGGTGATTATTATGCTCAGTGAAATATCTCAGTCACAAAGGGACAAATACTGCATAGTGCCACTGTTGTAAAACAGGACTGACACTGGGGTTGGGGGGAGACTGATAAAGGTGCATTAAATAATGTATTGAAACAGATGAGGGAGAAAACTGTTTAAAAGGGATATGTGATTAGGTGTTTTTGTCATGATGGGAGTCCAGAGCGAAGGCTGCATAGTGGAATGGACCTGGGTGGAGGGATTGTAAAACAATGAAAGAATTTTTCTTTTACTTTTCCAACAGAGGAGTCTACTGGGAGGAGGGCTGGGTGGGGAGAAAAGTGCAACAATGAATGAATGGAAATCCAAAGTCTCTGTAAA